ACTGATTTTCATTTGATGTTCTCACCACAACCAACCTCTCTAGTGTTCACTAGAAAGTGTACTGAGATCGCCTCTTCCAGCAGGTGTCAGTACGCTCGTCTGGTTCCCTTATAACGCTCCTCGACTGCCACGTTCTCACCTGCCCAAACCCAAACCAACCGCACTGAAGGGAAAACTGGAGTTTGATTAAAGCGAAAGCATGCGGCCGGTGTGAAGCACCTCACACTCTCATCAGTTTCAGTCTCATGATCCAGTAATCAGTACAGGACGTGGATTTCTCCATCTTACCTTGCCCCTCGCCGAACTTTGCGCTGTGAGCCCAGGTGAGCCCGCGAGCGAAGCCCAGCTCTCGACACACCACATCAGCGAGTTTAATGTTGACCTCGTCGTCACACACCGTCCCCCAGGCTCCGTTATACAGCACCTCCACGCGGCCCTCCAGCTGGCTCCGGCCGCCCACCAGACGCACCTGGAACCCGGGAAGAGCGAGCGCCAGCGGAGACACCAGCAGCAGCAGCAGCAGCAGACGGAGGAACATCTTTACCTGCAGAGTGACTGAGTGAGGGATGAGCACACGTTACTGCCCGTCTACAAAACACTGCCTGATGTAGAGCCTGTCACATCCTCTCTGTGACAGATGCAGTGTGTGCAGTGTACAGGATGTCTAATCAGTCTCGCGTGTGTCTTTTATGAATTTCATATTGACTCATACACACCAGTTTCACTGTGTTTACTTCATTAAACCGTGCCCGGTGTTATAAACCTGTAAACCCTAACCCTAACCCTAGACATGTAAATACACACCTGTCAATCAATATCAGTGGGCGGGGAAACCACACTGCTTCATCACAATGCGGTCCGCCTCAAAAACACCGGGGTGGACATCCTGATTTAATTTTAGGATATTTAAATATATATATCTTGTGTTTATATGACTGTGGACACTCTGTACTACACACACTCTGACCAAACAGCTTCCACAGGTTGATTTTGTTTAATAGGAGCTCTTTAGAGTGACTCAAACTGATCCAGAATCAGCCTGTTTGATCTGAATGTGTGAATATTCCAGCGGTCCGTCAGGCCCTCATCATCACAT